ACAATCCCAACCACAAGACCTATATATATATATATATATATATGTGTGTGTGTATACGTATACATAATATATTTCTCTTAGGGCGATTTCTTTGAACTGGCGACATCTCAATTATAACTAGTGTTTTTAGTCATTCTTTTGCCAATGCAAGTTTACCATCCACATATCATATATATACATAGCTTCTATATATATATATATATGTTATATACACATTGAAAAGATGGATCATTTTAGTAACACCATTAACCATATGTGTTGTTTTGAGAGCAGGAGGGATAGTTTCATAACTCACAGAGCATTTTGCGATGCATTGGCGGAAGAAAGTGAAAGGGCAAACCCAACTCATCAACCAAACCCTATCTCGATCCAATCTTCTTACCAAACTCCACAACCAAACAATCCTCCTCCTTCTTACAACAACGTTGTTAGCAATAGCGGTAGCAGTAACAACAGCAACAATCTCCATGGATTCTCCATGAAGAAAGAGCAAGAAATTGACATAAACTTCACTCACCCTCCTTGGCTCTCCCCTCCTCCCTTTCCCTGCTCTAAGGCGGAGACTCCGTCCGTTGTTTTTCCCTCGAACCCTAACCCTAGCTTCGCCGCCGCCGGAGCTTTATTCCCCTCCTTCCACCGCCCCTCTCCTCCGTCTCCGGCCTTGTCGGCCACCGCATTGCTCCAGAGAGCCGCTCAAATGGGTGCTACGACCACGACTCCTTCTCCCGCCGAAGAGATAAGGTCGTCATCAAGTCACGCCCTCAAGACAACAATGGCGGCTGTGATGACGTCACCGTATCCGGCGTCGGGGTTTGGATTCTCGGCCAGCGGTAATGCCGACAACCCTTCTATGTTTCAGGGCTACAACACGATGAATCCAGCGGCCGGTTTTGAAGCCTTCGACGAGAGCTTTGGTGGGTTCTTGAGGGCAAACGCCACGACGGCGGCGGCGTCGGTGGCTCCGGCGGTCGGAGAGAAGTACGGCGGTGGCAGAGGAATTGGAGAAGGGTTGACGAGAGATTTCTTGGGGCTTACGCCATTGTCTCATAGCGAAATTCTCAGTTTTTCGGATCTCGGAGACTGTTTCAGTGGCAATGCTTCTGAGCAGCAACAGCGACGTGACCACTCACAAAACCCTTAGATTATGATATATATATATATATATATAATCTTTTTTGTTTCTTTATATATTATATCAGTTCACTTGTGTATATATATTCTCGAGAAAAAGGAGAATCACCATGTTGCAAAAATTATATAAAGAAATTTATTAATTTCTTTCGGATACTTTGGTTTTATTTGTGCAAAATTATGTGTATCTAAACCGAAATAGATCCATTTGCTACGGATATATTAACTAGGACGACATAAGGGCTATCAATTTAATGAACATTGATGTGTATGAATTGGTTACCATTTATTTTCGCCATGCAAAAAAAACAACGCTACACGTAGCAATTGAATTAAATGAAGACTAATATAAGGTCAACTCTCATATAAATATTCGATTTTCGTTTTATAATGTGGGAAAGGTATATACACGTATACATACGTACATATCTACGTGATTATGAGGAAACTAGTAATTATACGATTTTAAGAAACATATGAGAGAACAACATGGGAATCTACAAGTTTATATGTATTTTTTGAAAATTCTCGAAATAGTGGAAGTCCATTTGTCGTTTTTGGACAGAAGAACCAGCTTGGTTTAATAATATAGTCGTTGATAACTTAATCAAAAAAAAAAAATATAGTAGTTGATATGTAAAATACACACACACACACACATTTTATACCACATTTTTTTTCGAATCGATTGTCTCGAAAACATTTACTTTAAATTTAAAAACCGGCTGAATTACCCTTTTACGGTTAATAAATAATTTGTTTAAAAATAAAATCGCTTGCGAAACTTTTTGCATGACATTTCACGTGTGATTTGCCGAAATCATTAGCCGATATTGACAACCGGAGAAAGCAAATATGAAACGCATCATGAAATGTGGCACATGGAAAAAAAAGTGGCATTGGGATGTGCCATTGGATTCTCTATTGTGGGGAAAGACATTTGTGGGACATGGATGGATGCATGCGATACGAAAAATATTCTATACTCAATAAATTTGAAAACCCATTACAAATTATATATATACGATGTGTATAATATACTATATTATATTATATTATATCATGGAGGTACAAGTGGGATCCAACAAAAGAGAAGAACATGCATATCAAGTTTTGCTCGGTGGAAAGTTTGCACACAATAAGACGCATGCCAGCAACCCTATAATAATTAATATAATCATATGATATGATTTATTATCAATCAGATCGGACGGTCCACGTATTTTAATAAAAATTTATATGCGAGAGCGATATTTCAAGGTTATATTATGGTGTGTAATACTTTGGAGATACTGTGATTTCCTAACAATATGTTCGAATATGGTAAAACTAGCGAAACAAGGAGTTTAGATATTAAAAAAAAAAAACAAGTATTTTTGTCGTACAAAAATACATACAAAACTTATCGCAATGCAATTTTAGCCTATATATTCTACATGTTATCATATATATCGACTAAATACATGGATTAAATATCAACAATATCTAGGGGTGACCATTTCGGGTTTCGGTTCGGTTATTTCGGTTATAAAAAAATCATACCCAAACGGTTATATAGATTTAATCGGTTTGGTTCAGTTCGGTTTCGGTTCGGTTATCATATATTTTGAAAAAATAATATTAATCCTACATAAACTTCAAAATATATATCCAAATAAATGCACAAAATGATTAATCCTCTAATAAAATTGTAAAAAAAATCTAAAAACTTCAATAATTAGGATAAAAGTTAAAAACATTAAATTTTATGGTTTATTGGGTGAAATATATAAGGTTAAAAGTGAAGTATAAAAAAATAATATTAATAATAACGATGGTAAAAATTAAAATATTTAAAAAAACTCAATAACCGTTCGGTTAACCGCGGTTATTCGGTTATTAACCGAACCGAACCGAACTCGAACGGTTATTCAACTTTTTCAACCGTTCGGTTATTAAGAAAATAACCGAACCGAACCAAACCACTCTTATTTGGTTCGGTTCGGTTATTCGGTTAATAACCAAAATGACCACCCTAACAATAACCACCTTAAATATGTGTAGCCCCAAAGTGGATTAAAATTGGGGGTACGGTATATATATATGATAATCCAAAGGAGGATCATATGCTATTGTTACCTGTCAAAAAAAAAAATCCACATGAGCTTAATTACTTCATTCATATTTCGCATGATCAAAAGATAAAACTACAACATCTAAAACTGAATTACACAGATTAATAAAGAGTAAATGTTCATATAACTGAAGAGAATTTCATGGAAAATCTATTCAAGGTTCAAGTTTGAAACTTTGCAATCAACCAATGGCAGATACAAAAAGCTGCAAACTTCGACATTTCAACAAGATTTTCCCGCAAAATCGCCTCTTTTTGAGGCAAATCCATTATCAGATATGAAATCTACACAACTAATTTCAGCAGCCCTTTGGATCCTCCGAAATCTAGATGTAGTCTTTTTTATTGAACTCGGAAACTGAGGAGAAGAATAGGGTAAGCCGGGAAATTTACTTTACTTTGCAGGAGATTTGTCGGAAGCTTCGTCCTTTGGATCCTGCTTAGAACCAGACACAGCGGCAGAGGCGGCCACAGTCATGGCAGCTGCCGCTGCACCAAGCTTTGCACCACCTGCAGCCTTCATTGCACCGGCGACCTTTGCAAAAATGGCCACTCCCCCTACCAGAATAGCTCTCAATGCAACCGTTGGTTTCACCGCCATTATTACCCAAACCAACCCTGCCAAAAAAAAAAAAAATCGATACTTTCCGACATGAATACATATCCTTCCAACCCTGAGAATTTCGACAGTTTGAATCGAACCACAAAAGGCATTCCAAGATGAGGAAGAGAAGCGTTTCTTGTCAAAGCAAGCCCCTTTTTTTCCTTTTACCTTCAAAGAAGAATGGATGGATAGGAAATCACGGCATATTTCACTTATACTAGGATTCAAGTGTAAAACATCGAAGTATATTTTCCCATAAACCCTAACAAACACAAGGATGTGCCTAGGATAATCGAAAGCTAAATCCGGGTCGTTCTCTTAGCTAGTTCAAGAAACAGATTTCTATGAATCCCAAGCCGGGTGCTTATTGGCATGTTGCCAGATTCAGGAGATCTGAGGTGTATTCATGAGCAAGATCGAACCTTTTGAATCCAAGAATTCAAGGCCATGGCTCCAGCATCTAAGCAAAACAGAGAACATCCAAACGCCAGGAACATTTTCTTACATAGTTCGCAGTTCTCACTCAAATCAGAGAAGAAATCTAATTAATGGTCAAACACAATGATTTCTTGCCGCTTCTGCAGCAACATCTCAGGGATTGCCAGATGATATTCAATCTCGAATCGAGCCCGAGAAGCTATCCAAGTCGATTCCTTGAATCAAATTATACCCGTGAGATGAGCCCTCTTTCACTCTCAGGCAGTATCCCTCGGTTTTCTACACAACCTGGAAATCACCTAACTTTTCTACCACTAACGCCAGAAATCGAAACGAAAATCGCTGATTCGACTGCGAATAACAAAGAAAAACCACGCAAACCATTGAAATATCGAAACCCGTATGAAAATGAAGAACGCACCTGAGCTTTATCAAACGGAAACACAAACACACCGGCCGCAAGATACTTCACAAGTCCTAAACACAGAGAAAAGGGTTATTCAAGGCGGAAGACATACATCGAAATCGAATCGAAAGTTGAAAATTTTCGCTTCTGGGTTAATCGGAAAACTCACAGTCTCCGCCTTCTCTGTCGGAAGATTCGAGATTGTGAGGAAATGATCTCCGCAAATTTCTCTCGTTCTCACAAAGCTATTGCGTATTTATACGACGTCGTTTCGACTATGATTTCTCACACGACGCCGTTTTTGTCACTTTTCCCCGTCCTTTCCTACTAGTAGATGAAGGCGGCGGCGACGACGAGAAGACGATAGCGGAGGAGAGTGATGGATCAGTTTTCTGGAGGGAATTGGGGGATGATCCCCAACGAGCAGGGGCACGGAAACTTCGGTGCACCGGCGAATCAGGACCATCTGTTCCTCCAACAGCAGCCGCCGCCGCCGCTGCAGCAGTTTCATCATCAGCAACAGCAACAATTCCAACCACAAGACCTGCAGTTTCAGCAGTTCCAACAACAGCAATATCAGCAGCAGTCACAACAGTTCCATCAACAGCAGCAACAGCAACAGCAACAGCGTATGTTACAGTCGCCTCCTCTTATGCAGTCACCGCCGCTACAAGCTCCAACCCCGCCGCCGCCGCTGGTGCAGACGCCGTCGCAGATGCAGATGCAGCCGCCGCCGCAGCATCAGCACCAATCGCTGGCTTCTCATTTCCATCTCTACCCGGTAAAGATGATAACTTTCACTCGACATTGGCGTTTTTCAATCTCATGTGTGTGTGATATAGCTAGCTTTCATCTCTCGGTTTGGATCTGTAGTTGGTGGAGAAATTAGCGGATGCAATCGAAACTGGAACACGGGATCCGAATTCTGATGCCCTGGTTCGTTTTCTTATCTTTCTGGTCTTATATGGCTTGGTTTTTGTTGGAAAGGCAGAAAACATGGAACTTCATGGGTGTTGAGAGTTGCCTTATGTTCTTGGTTTTTTTTGTGTTTGATCATCTGGGTCTTGTCTGATTTGTGATTGCAGGTTTCTGAAATGAACAGCCATTTCGAAAAGTGTCAGCAGCTGTTGAACTCGATTTCAGGATCTCTTGGCTCTAAAACAATGGTAAAATCGAGATTCCTAGACATTTGGATCATAGTTCTACCTGTTGCATGTCTTCCCTCTCTGTCTTAAGCTCCTTGAGACATACTAAGCAGAAATGGTTTCACTCTAAATGGCAATCCGCGGAATGTTTATGTCAGAGAGATCATCAGTTTCTCCAAGTTTGTTTGATAGAAGAATGTCTTGGGAATGGCTTGCACCTCTATTACTTTAGTCTCTTGTTGAAGTTTGGTAATGAAAGATTTATGGATCTTGTTTGCAGACTGTGGATGGACAGAAGCGAAAGCTGGAAGAAAGCGAGCAGTTGCTTGAGCAAAGGAGGTGTGCTTCTTATCAGAACATGTCTTGGTTCATTTCGCTGTCCCGTCTGTTTGCTTAAAACTTGCTCTTACTTTCGTTCTGCGGTCCTGTCAGGGAATTGATTGCAAAATACAAGACATCTGTTGAAGATCTCATCAAGTCTGACCCTTAATTCCTTCTCATGCATACTTGAGGTACAAAAAACATATCCTTTTGAACTTTAATCCATATTCTTGCACAGTGTGATTGGCCCTTTTGAGGTTCGAGATGCTCATTGCCAATTCAGCATTTGCTTATGATTCCGCAACATGGAAAATTCAATGTCAAGGATTTTGGAATCGTGAAGTGTATCTCTACGACCAAATCATCTCTGACTTGGATTTTCCGGTTTCAGATAGTTCTACACCATGATGATACTCCTCTCACATCTAAGGTCTATGAATCCCGAAGAAGCGTGAAATCAGCCTACGTAGTTTGTTCCTCGTCTACATCAGAAGCAATCGATAGAATACCAAGTGGGGTCGAATCATTTCCAGGGAAATCGATGTAAAAAGTGTCATCCATGAGGCTGTAAACGGGATCTGAACCCTTAAACCAGGTATTAATCATCGATTTCATGTAAAGAATCTCAGGTTTTACTTTGAAATCTCAGCATCTGGGGATTTTGATAATGTGAAAATAGGATAGTTAGATCAGATCATGAAGAGAGAAGGTCTCTAAAACCGGTAAGCAAGCTCATCTAAACATATACTTTTTTATCTTCCAGTACATAGCCGATTTTTAGTAAATCCAGTCTCCATTACTATTTTTCACCACCATAAGGTTTGTTTCTCTCTGCACATAAGCCTTTTCCCCCCATATTCACTTCCCCTTTTTTCACATACCCTCCTAAATTTAGACAGTGCCCATGACTTAGAATTGGTCAAAAATCTCTCCCCCATCTCTCTTGTCTCTCTGTCTTATATCTGCTTGTCTCTCCCCCCCTCATTTCTCTCCATCCCTGCATTCCCTTCCCACCAGGAGAAAACTAAGGAACCAAAAAACTCGAAAACCCGATAAAGGAAACCACCAAAAAAGATGCCCTCAGGCCACTCCTCTGCTTTCCCCTCCCCTCCCAAGCCAACACCTCAACCATTAAAGCCTTCCGCCACCATTTCCAGGACCGGTAACAGCACCAGCACGAACCAGGCCTGTGCCGCCTGCAAGTACCAGCGCAGGAAATGTGCCCCTGATTGCCTTCTGGCCCCTTATTTCCCTCACAACCGCCACCGCCAGTTCCTCAACGCCCACAAGCTCTTTGGTGTCAGCAACATCACCAAGATCATCAAGACCCTTAGCCCTCCTGAGAAAGATGCCGCGATGCAAACCATCATCTTTCAATCCGATGCTCGGGCCAAGGATCCAGTCGGTGGGTGCTACAGAATCATAAGGGAGCTTCAGTGCCAGATCGAATTCACCAGGAACGAGCTTGATCTCGTTCTTCAGCACCTGGCCGTGTACCGTGAACGTGCTCATCAAGAATCACGGATGCAGGTCCAAGAACCCGAGGATATTTCCAGTTTCTCGGGTTCTTGCGATCTGAATAACTCGATCCCGTACAATTACCCCCTTCATCATGTGCAAGAACAACAGCAACAACAGCAACCGCAGCAATATTGTTCTTCAGGGAACTTTTCCGGGTTGCAAGAAGATATGTGGTGTCTACAGCTACAAGATTCATCGACTACGGTGAACATGAAGCCGGGTTTCGTCGAGGAGTGCGTGGACGTGAAGCCTATCGAAGAGGTGTCGAGCGAAAGACACGAGCATGTCGAGTTTGAGCAAGAAGGGTTCGTGGACAGGAAGCTAAACATGGCGTCTGCACAACTGATGATTTCGTCGTAGGCTTATATCTCCATTCATCTTTCATCTCTCAGCTTCTCACTGCCAAAAAAAAAAAACATTTTTTCTCGTTCCTGTCCTTTTCTCCGATTGCAGAATCTCTTTTGTAGGCTCAACGAAAATTTATTGTCCCTCCGTCGGTTCTGAATAGATTTTAATTTGGTTATTAACATTCCAAATGCTTCGCTTGTGGCCATTTTCTCATGTAATGATCTGAAGCATTCTTCAATGGAACAGAGTTCTTATGGTAGTTTTAAGATCAAACATGATACTCGCAGTGACTAACACGTGTTAAAGAACCATGCTAAATCTGAAACAAGATCAGAACAAGAAAGATGTGAACTTGGGCTTTCTGTTTCTTGTCTCATCCAATCCAAAACAATCTTTACTACCAAAGATTCTCAAATTCTGAAGACTCCAGAATTTGATGGAGAACCAATGAAATGATGATACATGCAACATGTGGAATGTTTTCACCACAACTGAGGCCTTTTCTTGTCGTCAGAAAGGGAAGAAACACTGCAAAGCCGACAGATAATAACAGTTTTAAGTTAATACAGAGCAGAGAACTTTGTCCTGAAACAACAAAATCAACATCGAAATCTTCAGTTCACAAAACCAAAAGCCGGTTTCTTCAAGAACATCCTTTATCCTCAGGTACAAAAAAACCACATCAATACAGAACTCGCAATCAAATGACCTCGTTTCGTTCTCCATCAACAAGAAGATAAACAAAATCTTTCAAACGAAATGCAGAAAATCATCCTATATTGTGGCGCCTGCAGTAAAAACCAATGCATGCCTCCGGACATGATATAAAAGCTTCGTAATCTCTATGATCACACCGAACGAGAAGTGCCCTTTTGAAGGGAATGAAAATTTGAAGCCTCATGTTCATGGTATCAGCTTGTCTAGTCTTCTTTTGAGGCATTTGTGTTGTTGGAAACTGTTTCTGTGGTAAGGCTGCTCGATGAGGAGGACGAGCCGACGCTGCTGCTAACACCATTGGTTGGAATCTTCGACAGAGTCGGAGGATTCATCGGCGGGGTGTTGTTAGCCGACGGAGCTTGCCCTTCTTCCGCGAGTTTCTTGAGGAGGTTCATGACGGTGGGAAGGAATTTGGTTGACAAGGATATGAGCCCGGGAAGCTGTGTAGCACGGCAAAACATCAGCATCTCGGATAAAATATCGAGAATGGAAGACAAACTAAGGAAGAACTTGGATTCAGGAAATGTAGTGATCGAAAATTCAATCTTTGAGATTTTTCATGAGAAAACTAGACGAATTCCTCATTTTTTCCATTGTTGTTACTTCATTGTGAATCTGAGATTTGTTATTCCAATTCAACAGGAAAGGGTAGTTCGTTATTCTCATGTAGAATCTCAGAAACAGAGAAGATGGAAGATCACTTACTGCGCCATTGCGAAATTCTCCAGAAATGTCTAGTTGCACCCACAGGGCTTTGGCAATAAGATACCCGACGAAAAGTATACCAATATACAAAGGATTTCTGCATTAAGAAGAAAACAAAGAAAATCCAATGTGACATGGAATCCCATACACGAACAAAACGAGTGAAGTCCAAACCAAACAGTGAGAGGTTACCTTAAGAGAGTCATAAATTCATTGAATCCAAGAACAACCAGTGCGAGGATTGCCCATGGCGGTGGCAGCCAGTTGTTATTCCGCCGATTGGCTTCCTGGAATTTTGTATTCAGATTCAAGAACAGAAAAAAAATTACCGAAACATGTGTTTTTCTACTATCATTCAACAAAAATCTAGCATTAGCCTGCAAGAACCGAAGCCAAGACATGTCTGAAAAGTGTGGGAAAATCATGTTTCATGCCTGGGCAGAAATGGCCTGTGTAACAGTATACTGTGTCTCGGTCTTGAATTGCCTCCACAACGATTTACATTGGACAGGAGTTATCAATGTCTTTGATTGTGGAACCTGAACAAAAAAAACGTAAAGAAAAACCCAATTTGCAAATGAGTTGATAGTAATGCCCCTATGTTTGTTTTCTAGAATCTACTCACCTGGTCCCAAGTGCTCGAAGCGAGAGGATCAAATGTGGTGATACTTGTGCTAGAAGCACTATTGTTTGTAGAATCAACCAGAGCAAGTGACAGTGTCTTCTCGATATTATCGGGTTCATCTTCCAAGCGGATTACAGCTACGACAGATAGAAGCTTCAAGGACTAGAAAAAAAGCAGGAAAGGTAATACATTTTCACGAGATTTGAAATCAGATTAAGAGAAAAGATCATGGAAAATGTTGCTAGTATCATGTAGGAGCAAATACCGAAGAGCGGGCCGTCTTCGTGATTGCTCTGATGTCCTCCTTGCCAGTCCAGACACGAGGCATTGAATCTGCATCGTGGCTGAAGATAGTTGCGAATCTGCCAAAGAAATTTTTGTTCGATCAGCAAAAAAACAGTTGTGAAACTGGGAAAAAGTGTGAAATAGTAAGCATGGATGGTACTATACCTGTCCTTCATACGCATCAACGCCCTCCCGGCTTCTTCCTTTGCCTTGGCTTCAACAACACCTCGTGCATAGTTCTCAAGGTCATTTACCATTTTACTCTTTGTTTCTTCATCAATGTCGAAAGCAGATAATGCGTCGGAGAAACCAAAGACGCTCAGTTCCATTTCCCGTCTAAGTAGTTTTCTTATTGATGGCCATGTTTCATCATTAGCTCCGTCTAAAAGGGCTTCCACCGGACCAGATAATGCTTCATTTAGTTTCGACTGCAAACAATACCTCCATTACTAAAGGTCGAAAATAGAATTTCCAACCGGAAATAAAAGTAGGGCAATCAAGGAAATCTTAAGAGTACTCTATTTACCTCATACAGTGTAGTCAGTTCAGAAAGCTTGGCAGCACGGACAGAAGCAATATGAGCATCAATATCACGTTGAAGTTTTTCCCGAGCTTTAGATGTATCCCAGTTTGCTTGTTCAATGACAGCATCTGCAGCAGAACAAAACCATATATATACATTGATGACCTAAGCTTTCAGATTCCGACATTCTATCCTATACTGCACAGTTTCTTTATTGTTTTTTTACTATAACATAAAAAAAAACTATACCTGCACATCCTTCATCGAATTGAGACATGTAAGACTGAGCACAAGCATGAGCAGAGGACGAAAACCTTTCTCCAGCATTCAAGGCCTTCTCAAAAGCAGTCTTGAAGTTTTCAAGTGTTCCAGATCTCAAATGTCCAAGCACATCTTGGAAAGCTGGTTGAACAAGCTGGATAAGTGAAAACGAAAAACGAGTATTACTATTTAGCAATTATGCAAGTCTCTTCCCTTGAAGATTTACATGTAAAATGTGTAAATCCAGCAAACCATAAATACAATACAATCACAAGTTATCGATATGTGCATTACTTGCAATAACTTTTCTAGCAGATGCTGCCGCTTGGCAGATCTCACGCCTTCGTCAAAGTATGTAGCTTCAGTGTCGTACCTAATACAAACAAAATATCGTTGGAATGGAACAAAACCCAAATCGGGACATCCATTACCGAGAAACTCTTAGAATTGAATGCATGCATATCCAAGACATGTAAATGAAACAGAGGCGACCTTATGGCCAAGAAAAAGTTGACAAAAAGAAACATATATGTAGAACATTCTTACTCTGACAAGCAAGACTCGAGGATTGAACTCAGCTTCTTTCCAAACCCGGGGATAAGAGTTGAGTGCACAGCTTCTTCCACCTGACACCACTCCTAAGAAAATTCGAAGAAAGTCTCGATACTTAGAGAAAAGCTGTACTGATATGAGAAACTGAAAGCATAACGAAAATTTTAAGCATGGATAAAAAAAAATTACCTCGTTTTTAACAAAATGAGAGAACTTCTCATTGGCAATTTCCTCACACCGTACGGTTGCAACCATGACCTACAAAAAGGGAGGCTTATGAATAACAAGGAAGCATGGAAACTGTGCTACAGTGGATGATACCAATATGCTAGCAAAGCCACCTTGTGAGCCGGAAGGTCCAAATCTTTGTTCTCTTTGATGACTCGCCAGATTTCTTCTGAACTAAAAGCAAAACCCGAAGCAGGTACTACTCCCCGTCGGTCACCAGCAAGTCCGCCGGGTGCAACAGAGTGGAAGAACCGTTGTCTCAAATTGGCAACCTTCATTTACAGCAAAGATATTGTAGCTCAAGCATTAATTCCACGTACAAGTCATCTGTCTTTGAGCAGGAAATCACCTATGGCCTTTCTATGAAATCCACAATTAATTATGATAGCAAAGTACCTGCTCTTTGAATTGCTCTTCCTTTTCTTCATAACTAGAAAGCGCAACTACTTCAACCTGCATGAAGGGAAAGACACCATTTCTTTATCCGAGCAAAAGAATAATGACAACGTTCTATTCCCAATATCAAAGAAGGCTGTCACACATTGAAAAATTCGCTTAGTGGGGTTTCTTGGTGTGCTTGAGGCTTAGGAACGGAATCCCATATCTGCATCAGAAGACAATATATGAGTTAGCATTATCAGAAACACAACTCAGGCTAAGTATTAAGTAAATATTGTTTCTTCTTTTACCTTCTGAATGTCTTCCCTCAGAACAGGTTCTAAGTTTTCCAATGGAGTCTGCCAATATCAAAGAATTAGCAACACCAACAACTCATAAAAATAGAAGAGCTAGGAAGAGAGATAATATGGTAAAGGAAGAATCGAGAAATGTTTGGTAAAAAACACAAGTTGCCACAAGAAATTAAATGGAAAAAAACAGTCATACCCGTGTTTTATCTCGTATGACAAACATTAAAGTAGTTTTCCGTGGACTAAACAACCGCATCATGACCTGTTAGCATGTAGATAAAAAAAAGTAACACGGTGTTGAGCTTCAGACCAGAGATCAGATATCCGGATAACAACAAACAGACAAAACACTTACCTGGAAGACAGTCTTTAGAAGAGGTTTGTTTGCTGCTTGTTCACGGCCAATATCATGACACCACCTGCATTTCAAATCCAAAGAACATTAAGACAGATAAAGAAATGGACAGAGGACTGACACATCAAATTAATACCAGAGGAAATAGAGGTTGTCTTGTGGAGATGCTTACATGTTTATGAGAACTATGTCCGAGACAGCAAGTGCAAAAAGAGCACTCTGCTTCTCAAAAGCCGTATCATCCTAATAGCCAGAGATAAGGGCAGATGTCAGTAAATGAACAAATCTGCATTTCCACATTCCTTTGAAAGACAGAATATAAGTTTTGAACAACTGAAAAGTAAACAAATACATGAAACAATGTATCTCCATTTGATTAAACAAATTGGTAATAATTACAACGAAAACTACATCAAACATCCACATTCAGGGAAGGTCTAAAAGGCATATAAATTGGTCACTTGTAGGAAAAAAGATGGAAAAGATAGGGAATGGGACTAAACACCTCTCCACGTTCTCTTCCATCAGTACCCTCTAAATCCATCACAAGAGTGCAGGGCTCAATTCCAGCGCATCTTGCAAGCCAAATTCCCTTAGTTGTCTGAGACCTGAAAAAAAAAAAGATTTAGCCGTTAAAGAACCTTAAATCAGAAGTTATCCTCTGAACTAGTATGTGAAGAACAAAGCATGCCTTCCTCTAAATGCATCCATTTCCCGAAAGTTTGTTCCGAACAAATGATTCAACAATGTACTCTTCCCTGCAAAATTCAAACAGAATGACAAGGATCATCCTGAAGATAAAACGGAGCCAGAAAATACAAAATTCAACAAAAAAGGTATGACATTTACAGACACAACACATACCACTACTTTGTGGACCCATAATTGAGACAACGGCATATGAAAGACCGCATTCCCCAAGTTTAACCTCCTTGATAAAATGATCAAGCCCAGTGATATTGAAGGTACCATCTCCATCGATGAGCTGAGTAGAGCAGGAGCTATCTGTATTTTCAAGTAAAAAAAAAAACAAAAAGAGTATCAATTCCATAAGCAATGCAGAAGAATTCATGATGGTATTCAAACAAATCCAGAATCTTGAAGTTCTAGTCTTGCTACTCTATTACATCTTATCATCCAACCCCCTTTTTTTTATGTTTATGTTTCAAGAAATGTCCAAAAAAAAAACAAATCTAACTGAGACACATGGTTCCAGCATTCCGATCATGTTCAAGCTGCTAACCCAGATGGGTCCTGCTTAGGATTGGCACTCAATCTTGGATATTCCATCGGTTCCTCGCATTTGCTCAGCATCCAAACAGATGTAAATCCGGAGAAAACAAGGCCACAATCCAAACTCTTTAAGAAAAAAACGTCCCACATTTTCCCGGGAACCAGACAAATCTAGTCTCAACTAAAACCTTCACAATCATCTACTACCTTCACAATCATAAGCCCACCATCTGGTGAGAAGAAACCAAATTCTCGACAGACCGATCAACACCCAAATCAGGAGATTTAAAACGAAACCCACATCATAATGGATAACGTTCAGACAAAACAGAAACTGATCAGATCAAGGAAAAAACGGATCCAAGATATCAGATGCATTTAAGACCGGAGAACCCGAGAAAGAGGGACATATAAAAGTACCCATTTTTCGTCCAGCCACGCGGAGATGGACGGAAGAACGATTTCCAAAATGCGAGGAAGGAGAGAGAGATCTCAGAGAGATATCGAGCAAAGGTGTGCGGTTCTTCAGAAACCGTGCTCGACTGGGTCTGTGAGATCAAAGCTCTCTATGAAGAAGAGAGAAAGCCAAAAACAAAAGGAAAGATTTTTCAAAGAATGCCAGACGTCCCTTTCACTATATATATATATATATATATAAACCAGGTTCTGCTTTCGATTTTCCGGTAAAATCGCAAAGGGGTGATCTTTCTTTCGTATTTCTTCACAAAGGAGAGAAATTTAAGAAGGAAATTGAAGGCTGCCTAAACGACGAAAAGGAATTTGGAGGGTTTGTTTTGGTCAGCAAACAAAAAATGGAGGTTTTGAGAGCAAATTATTTCAGTCTTTTTCATCCAAATAAACAAGCAACATGTTTGGGGAAAAAAATTAATTAAGTTTGAATTCCCATTTGTAAATTTAGATTCGATTATCGTAAGTTTACGGTCCAATATTCCCCATTTTCAACATAACTTATACATATTAAAAACTACAAAATTGATTTAAATTAAATTTATAAAAAATATAAATATTTTAAAATTATAATTCGCCTTTTAATTATTTTTACCATAAATAATTTTTAGAAGTTCGAATCTAAAATTTATGATACAACATAAGATTTTAAATCATATACGCCTATATACAAATTGAGATATAGTAAAATTATTTAATAAATATAGAAAGGTATTTGTAATTTCAACGAACATAATGGCCAACCTCATTTCAATCGTGTATAGTATGCCATTGTTGAAATATGGATTAAACTTTACGTAATTATATATTGGTTGGACCAAAAGACAATGGGTCCCACAGCATTTCCACAGCCCAAAAGGCTTTTTTGTGGGCCCACTCGCCGCCCTGGCCTTCCTGAAAAAGTTTGGACGGTGCGATCGCCGCCCCGTTTACTAATTTGTAAATCCTCCACCGTCCGATTCAAATATTAAAACAACAAATATTTTTATAATTGCTGTGGTAATATAATATAACCTTAATATTTTGCCCAAGCTCTTGCGGTATGAATTATATTATTAATAAAAAAACCGTATTATTGTAATTAAATAAAGAACATATTTTTAGTTAGTTCTATGCAAAATATAATTGTTTAATTTCAATTAACCTTTAGAATTTTCCAAAATTGATAAATAAAATTAGCTAAAAAAATAGATCATCAAAATCATTTTTTTATCAAGTAAATAATAATGTCTAAATACCGTCTAATAAAATACTAAATGACGTCGTTTTTTTTACGGGAAAAACATGAAGAGCTAACGAGTGATGGAAGAACATGCTTCTGATCTTCCGAACAAAGATTCTTTCCAACAAGAACTGTGCAGCTTCTTGCACCACTCATCTTTCCGAACGATTTGGAACAAGTTGCGAGGCTTCTCCTTCGCCATGCGGACCAAAGAGCACGGCTTTAGATTCTGTTACTTACACGAAACTCGTTCAGACAGCCGCCAAATCGGGTTCCATGGTTCTGGGAAAACTCGCCCATGCCCGTATGATCAAGACATCTTTCAATCCGTGCCTGTTCTTGCTCAACAATATGCTCAACATGTACAGCAAGTGTGGGGAACTGGGCTTCGCACGCTACCTGCTCGACGGAATGCCTCAGAGAAATATAATCTCGTTCAATTCTCTGATTTCTGGGTACACCCAGATGGGTTATCACGATCGTGTTTTCCCTATAACGCTGTTCTTGTAAACCCTGCAAGAACTCAGCAATGCCCTCCACATCACAGGATGGTCTTGAAAACCCGATCTCAGGATCAGATTCTCGGCTTCTGATAATCTCCCAGCTCGTCCAAGAAGGTCAACGATGCAGGAGAAATGCTTCTCGTCTGGGTTTATCCCGTAATCCTTCTTCATGCCTTCGAAAAGCTTCAATCCTTCTGTAATCAGTCCTCCATGGGTACAAGCAATTAAAACTCCAAGAAACGTCTGGTGGTTTGGTTTGAGCCCATGATTTGGCATTGACTTGAAGAGGTCTAATGCATCATTGCCAAGCCCATGCTGTGCAAGGCTACAAATCATAGCAGAGTATGTCGCAATGTCGGGATTCACCACCTCTCTGAAGCTTTTATTAGCAAACTGCATGTTTCCCGATTTTGCGTACATACAGATGGTTGAGGTCTTGACACAGGTAAAGTTATCGATTCCACTTCTTATGGCATAACCCTGAAGCTGCTCTCCCATTCTCGAGGCAGCAAAGTCTGCACAAGCACTCAACATGAGTGAAACAGTAAACTCTTCTGGTTTTACTCCAGACAAGAAAAGTTGACAGAACAGATCACACGCACTTTCGAACTGCTCGTTCTGAATGAAGCAATCAATCATTGATGTCCACGATAACCGATGAATCTGTAATTGAAACCTTTGAACTCTTCATGGAAATGCAAAGGCGGGGACTGAAACCATCAGCATCGACACTTTCAACCATGCTAAAAGCTTGTAATGTGGTGAAAGCATTGGAGTATGGAAAGCAAATCCATGCCCTTGTATGTAAGAACAACTTTCAGGCTGATGAGTTTATTGGAAGTGCTCTAATCGAGTTGTATGCTCTGTTGGGTTCAACGGAAGACGGGATGAAATGTTTTGGTTCAACATCAAGGCGAGATATTGCCTCGTGGACATCAATGATTGATTGCTTCATTCAGAACGAGCAGTTCGAAAGTGCTTGTGATCTGTTCTGTCAACTTTTCTTGTCTGGAGTAAAACCAGAAGAGTTTACTGTTTCACTCATGTTGAGTGCTTGTGCAGACTTTGCTGCCTCGAGAATGGGAGAGCAGCTTCAGGGTTATGCCATAAGAAGTGGAATCGATAACTTTACCTGTGTCAAGACCTCAACCATCTGTATGTACGCAAAATCGGGAAACATGCAGTTTGCTAATAAAAGCTTCAGAGAGGTGGTGAATCCCGACATTGCGACATACTCTGCTATGATTTGTAGCCTTGCACAGCATGGGCTTGGCAATGATGCATTAGACCTCTTCAAGTCAATGCCAAACCATGGGCTCAAACCAAACCACCAGACGTTTCTTGGAGTTTTAATTGCTTGTACCCATGGAGGACTGATTACAGAAGGATTGAAGCTTTTCGAAGGCATGAAGAAGGATTACGGGATAAACCCAGACGAGAAGCATTTCTCCTGCATCGTTGACCTTCTTGGACGAGCTGGGAGATTATCAGAAGCCGAGAATCTGATCCTGAGATCGGGTTTTCAAGACCATCCTGTGATGTGGAGGGCATTGCTGAGTTCTTGCAGGGTTTACAAGAACAGCGTTATAGGGAAACGAGTAGCGGAAAGGTTGATCGATCTTGAACCAGATGCCTCTGGAACATATGTATTGCTGTATAACATCTACAATGAAGCTGGGATCGAATCTTCAGCTGAGGAAGTGAGGGAACTGATGAGGGGACGAGGGGTTAAGAAAGAACCGGGCATGAGCTGGATTGAGATAGGCAGCGAGCTTCATTCTTTCATGGTCGGAGACTGGTCCCACGGGTCGAGCCAGATGATCTACACAAGTTTGGAACGGCTGTTTGAGAACATGAACTCGACTACAATGAAGCTGGGATCGAATCTTCAGCTGAGGAAGTGAGGGAACTGATGAGGGGACGAGGGGTTAAGAAAGAACCGGGCATGAGCTGGATTGAGATAGGCAGCGAGCTTCATTCTTTCATGGTCGGAGACTGGTCCCACGGGTCGAGCCAGATGATCTACACAAGTTTGGAACGGCTGTTTGAGAACATGAACTCGACTGGTTTTGAAGATGAAACTTCTGTGTATGCTTATTCTTTGACTTGAAAGATAAGTTGTCCTGGTCGTGTATTGGTTGTTTTTATGAAACTTCTTCACAAATTCTTTTCATTCTATGTGCGTATATATATTTGTATGTATATTGGACCAAAGAAATTCATGTGAAACTTGTTCCAGTTATCCAACGAGAAATATCTGATTATTTTTGTTAAGAGTTTGAGGAAAAAAGGGTAAATCCTTAATGATCTGAGCTTGCTATTATGGTTTTGTTGTTATTGGGGGATTTTGGTAGGGATGTCAAACGAGCCGGTTCGGACCAGCTCGGACCAGCTCGTTTCGAGCCAGCTCATTTTCAGCCCAACTCGTTAAGCCCATTTTTATTTGGACCAGAAAATTTCTGGCTCAGCCCAAGTCACTTAGCTCGCGAGCCGGCTCCCGAGCCGGCTCATATTTTTCTAAACACCTAAAAAAAATCATATCAAATTATATAAAATCATATCCAAATGATATATCAACATAAAAAGAACATACCAATACATCCAAATCATATTTATATTCACAATCACAATCCATATACAAAAAATCATTTTCAAATAGATAAAATCATAATTCATCCATGTACAAAAAACCATTTTCACATCATAATCCATCCATATACAATTAGATCTTAATCCATTTACAAAAAACCATCTTCAGATCCGAATCTATACATAAAAAATTATCTCCAAATCAAAATATCATACCAACAATATCAACACTTTCAAGTTTCAACGTAAATTTTTTTTTACTCCACCTCCCGAGCCAGCTTGCGAGCCAGCCGAGCTAGCCTCGTTTGGGCTCGGATCGTGGCGAGCTGGCTCACTCAGCCCATTTTTATTTGGGTTCAGATATTCTTGGCTCGGCTCGGTAAAAAAAAAAACCAACCTCGAGCCGGCTCGCGAGCTCGGCTCGTTTTGACATCCCTAGATTTTGGTAAATAGTCCGAAAGATTATTAAATTTTTCAAAACTACTACTAGAAACATTTAGGTGTTCGGTGGGGAAAAAAAATATTTTTATAAGAAAATATTATTTTAGGGATGTTGAATTTTTCTTATAAATTTAGTTTTTTTTTAAAACAATTTTTTTTTTGGTTTTGAATAAAACTAAAACTAAAAAAAATTAATAGATTGGTAGGGAATTTCGTTTTGAAATTCTGGAAGGCAATACTAATTAAGATTTTAGTTATTAAATAAAAATATTATTTTTACAATAAGTCACAAATTGAATTTTAAATCTAAACTTCAAATGAAAATAAACTTTTCAAATTATATATTTTTTTTGAAGTTACCACCAAAACGGCATGAAATTGGGCCGAAACCCAAAGCCCATTAGTTGAATTCTCTCTCGCAAGAGGTTTTTCGACCGGTGCTCGGAGCCATCGTAGTAGTCTCGACGAAGAAGAGAATGGCGACCAAAACCCTAGCCAAGGCGGGAGCTTCGCTGATGAACCGATTCCTGTCGAATCCAACAACGAATCTTCTGCAGAACAACGTTAGATCGATTCAGCAAGTGGTTCCTCAGGGTCAGGAGGTCACATCGTATCTTCTGCAGAACAAATTGGGATCGGCTCAGTATGTAGTTCCTCAGGGTCAGGAAGTCACTCCGTATCTGTTCCCGTCGCTGTCGAAGCTACAGAGCTCGCTGGATCCGCGCCCTAGCGACACTGTTTCGCTACATGAGCTCTCCTCTCAAGAGGTTTTTTATCCCTCTGGTCTTCCTTCCCTTGAATTCTTCTTACCCGAAGGTACGTCTCTCTCTCTCTCTCTGCTTATGTAGAGACGCTTTTGCGTGTATGTATGCATCTCTGCGTATGTTTGTCTGTGTATAGCTTTTGTTCTGTCTTTGTGTCCGTGGGAACTAGGTATAAGGACTGGCATTTGCTCTGGTTCTACATGAACTGAACTTTTGTTGTCATATGAATGCGATTGATAGCCTAACCGACCACCATATTCAGAGAATTGAAATGGTAATAAAAATTCAATTTTTCCGTTAGTCTTCTAAGTGAAAATCACTGATTGTTGCATTTGCTATTTGAATTGAGACGATTGAGCAAGTCATGTATCCTAAGGGCTACTAAAAACTTGTCTAGATTGTGTCTACATTTCAAAGTTTTCAGCTTGTCTGTTATGTTTGATTTTGGGTTTCTGTGTGTGAGATTTAAACGAGTTAGAGTAGTTTCTTCTATTCTGGATTCCGCATTTTGGTTTCACAAATTCTGTGTAGTAAAAGAGCTCAGTATAGTTGTTTTTCTTTGGATTTCATCTTTTAAAAAAAAAAATAAATGCTTATTATTGGGATGGATTGCTCGGAACACCTATGCCGAGTGTTGTCTTGTGCCTGCGAGAGGATAGCATATGCATGTCTATCGTAAACGAGATACAGCAGGCTGTGTGGTTTAGATAGGACTTGTTCATGATGAAGTTGGTTGAATCATGATGGTTGATGAGATTCCTTAGATTGTTATGGTTCATGATTCTGGATTCTTTTAGGTCCCTTATGGTATGACGATTATTTGAAAACTCATCTTTATTTTCTGAGTTGACCCTTTCTTGGGCTGTGTATTTATGTGACCCTGGTTAGTCTAGGCTCACCAAAAAGGCAGATAAGTTTACAGGCCTATCTCACATTGCATACAGGCACACGCGCACAAAGCCCGTGACATCGATACTACTACCCTTTCCCCCTTTACTGACATGTGGATTTTGCCGGATTGTGGTGTGTGCCTGATATTTGTGTATTTTGGTGCTGTAGTTGATTCATCAAGCGAGTCATTGCTGTTGTTTCCCAAAAGGACGTTCCAACCGAGCACTATTAGGCGCAAACGAAACCATGGGTTCTTTGCTCGGTATGTTTCTTATGTCTAATGTTCTTATTCTCCTATGGATAAAGGTTTCTTTCTCTTGTTCATCCGAAAAATCTATTATCTCAGCAGAAACCATTGAATTCCTAAAGCTTCTCTTCTTCTGAGTTTTGATCACAAATCAGATTCAAATTCGACTGCTTAGTATCAGAACTGTTTGTATGCATCATGTCTGAATCCTTTTTCTAAATACCCGACAGAAAAGCTACAAAGGGAGGGAGAAGAGTGATTGCTCGAAGAATAGCGAAAGGGCGTTCAAGAATCACAGCTTAGGTGCTCCTTCTTCGGAAATGTACTCAAGAACGATGAATCTCTGCGTTGAAACTCAGTTTAATCCTCGGCATTTGATAAACTTCCCCTACTTTACTTTTTCCGGAGATCCGAATGTTGAATCTCGGAGAATAGCGGTCTTTGCATGTCGGTTTTTCGATATATCTATCCTCAGAACACAGTTTCAGATGCAAAAGCTTGATGATCATTGATGCAAACGCAGTTGTAAACCTCAGCAGCTGCACCGTTGGCAGTTGCAACCATATCCTTTGCTCGTTATGGTCTATTCAAAATAAGTTTGCTTAACTAACCTATTAATGTTATTGTAAATGGTATCCACGTCCCTTTGACGGTCCACTACTCTTTGACCCAATTGATTCGGCATTATATCAAAAATACTTTTAATTTGCTATTTCTACTTCAAGATCTACCCTTGTGGCCAATGTGACCGAAATATAGTATGGTCACATTTTGATTTTTATCGATTATAACGTTAAATTTATAGTGATCACGCTAATTCATTATGTTCATACTTTGTATATCTTATTAATTATTTGATTAAAACATTATAAATTTAACGTTATAAACAATGGGATCAATATGTGACCACATTATATTTCGGTCACATGGTCACAAGGGTAGGTATTGAAGTAAAAATAGCAAAGTAAGGGTATTTTTGATAATACCCAATTGATTCTGTATACATCAGCATGTAATAAAAATTGGAATGAGACAATTTTTTTTTAATTTTTTTTTTCCAAGTTGTGTAATTTTTTTTACTGCCTTTCAAAACCCTGCCTGATCTAACCACAAAAAAAAAAAAAAAAATCTATTCCACTTGGCGTTATGAGCCACATCGACCTGCCTCATATGTTGAAAACCTTATATAAATATAGCAACTCATATATATAAATATATATATATATAGTCAAATGATATTACTTTGAGATCATAATAAAATCTCATATTATCATGCAGATACGAATTCACATAGGATATTGATGAACGGGTTCTATGATTACTCTAAAAATCTTGTGAAGACATATAGTATACGCTGTGTACAGCAATCCATAAAAGACCGTAAGATCATTTGTTTGGCCATTACATTATAAATTTTTTTTAAAAAAAAATATATTTCCAAGAAATTTTACAAGTGTTCTCTTCCTTTCTTCCTCGGCCGGCTGCAGTGAAGTCTAAACCCTAGCGTTCATTAAAGTGATACAACCAGATCTTTAACACAACGAATAACAGGAGAGTGGGTTCGTTATTTAACTGTTGAGATGAATGAGCATGCTTCTTGATTAAATCCCAAGACAGTTGGGAGAACGTTGTAAGAAAATAAACAGGGTTTCATGAGGTTAGGCTTCTATGCTTCTCCCGTGTTCTTGGAAATCAGAAATCGAATTCATGCATATATATATACACACACATATATGAGATATCAAATCCATGCATATATATATATATATAAGTGGGAAGTAAAGCGTATACTTATTCGAATTTGCTCAGAAATATTGTGTAAAGAGAATCTTACCAAGTTGACCAAAACATTTGTACGTGAAAATCGCATTAAAGTATCCGTGTGACTGTCCTTAAGGGCCCCACAAATATCACAGAGAGAGAGGTGACAAATCAAAGATGCAGAACAGAACAAAAGTATTCTTTCGCTAGAGACAAAACAAACTGACCATATGTACACAAACACATGTGTAGGCGACGAGAAGTACATAGCGCATTTACATACACATATACCTACATACGCGAATATATATATATATGTGTGTGTATGCGGTCAAGTATAAATAAAAAGGATTATTACATATATGTAGTTATTGAAGAACACTGCAATAGCTCTTCATTACTCACACAAATAACCTGAACTAGTAACATTTTAGGTTGTCTTCTCCGACAATGACATTTCGAAAATATTTAATGAACAGATACCATTCCTTATACGAGATGCTATATAGTAAAGGTTTTTCAACACATGGATTTATTATTTATATTTTTCTCCCTATATATATATATATATAATATGCAGATTATAATTCTATGTTTCAAATATCCATGTCTAGGGATCCCACCTAGACATTGTAGTTGTAGTAGTACTAGGGTTTGGTACTGTTGCAACGTACTGTCTGCTGGAGATCGGCGATGAGGAGGAGGATGATTGCAATGATGGCATGATCATAGAGTTGATGTATGAATCCACTTGATGATCATCATCATCGTCGTCGTCATGATCCGCCGCAGGCAGGTGCAAGTCACGAGGGTGGGATGTTGCTTTCCCGTCAAGAACCTCTTCTGATAACTTTGAAACTGTGTTTGGGATCACTGTGGTGGTGACCAAGGAATGATGAAGAGGGTCATCGTCGTATGGTGATAGCGAGACCATTGGATCGATGATGAGCTTGTCGTCATGTCCAACATAATCTTGAAACGATTCAACGACTTGGGTTTCTTGGAAAGTGGCAGAAATGGAGGCTGGGAGATCTGGTAATGCCCATGGGGGCTGATGATTAAATGCGGAAGATGAATCTGAATCTGGAAGGGTCGTTATATGAGGATCATAATCAGATGGAAGAAAAGAATGGTGATTTGTTGGTGCGATGACCAAATTATCAGGATTGTAAAGGTTTTGAACTTGGCTTGAGTCGTTAAACTTGAAATCTACATGGCCAAAGCTTTGGAACATAACTGGAGTAAAAACAGGAGGAGGGAGATAGAGAGGATCAATGTGGTTGGGAGTGATGAAACTAGGGTTTGTGTTTGTGAGGAGGGAGAAGAATCCAGATGCTTCCTCGCCGTTGTTATGGGTATTGACATTGTTCATGAACCCATTATGGTGATGATGGTGATGGTGAGGAAAGTTGGTGATCAAGCTTGCCATGGAAGAGATATGATGATGGCGATGGTGATGATCATGAGACATGAGCTTCTTCTTAATGCTAGAGTTCCAGAAATTCTTCACTTCATTGTCTGTTCTCCCTGGTAGGTGCTTGGCAATCTGAGCCCATCTGCCCGAATCATATCACATAGATCTTACTATTTCATATATATATGTGCGAGAAACTTGAAAAATGTACATATGTAAACACACACACACAGATATATATATATATATATATATAACGTTTAAAATTATCAACAAACCTGTTACCAAGAATGCTATGGAGGTCAATTATAAGGGCAGCTTCTTGAGGAGAGAAACTTCCACGTTTAAGATCGGGTCTCAGGTAATTAATCCACCTCAATCTGCAGCTCTTTCCACATCTTTGCAGACCTAGGATATGCAAAACCCAGAAAATAAAAAAGGCGAAAAAATATTATTCACCAGTATCCAAGAAACTAATGAGTCTGTGCATGTATGTTGCAAAGCAAAAGAAGACGAAATCCTTGAAATGCAAGAAAATCTCAAGAAATAATCTTCAACGTACAATTCAAGAAATGTGGGAATGTATATGCGAATATATATATATATATATGTGTGTGTGTGTACGTATGTATGTATAGGTATGGTGTGGGTGAGGTGTGCCTGCATGTTTGGGAACAGAGCTCCAGCATCCATGGCCATAAGTGGTGATGTAGTTGACGAGCTTCTCGTCTTCCTCTGGTGACCACAGACCTCTCTTCACCTTCTGCTTGTTGCAGCACGAGTGATGCCCCATCTCTCTCTCTCTCTCTCTCTCTCTCTCTCTGAAATATAAAATATATGTATATACGAATGATTTATATGGCGGAGAAATGGGAGATCAAATCTTGCAAAGCGCAAAGGAAAACGAGGAAGAGAGCAAAGGCTACACGCACTTCCCCATTAATTATAATAATATCACTAGCCCTAACTGTAGTCCACCAGTGATTTTCTTCATTCACCAAATGACGTTAACCCATTATAAAAAAAAAAACTTTCAAATCAAAAAAATAAATAAAATGATGATATAATAATTGGAATGAATAATAAAAAGAACATTAATAATAGTAAGTGATAATAAATGAGGGAAGGTGGGTGCAAAACCAGTGTGGCCCATTTTTAGGGTTTGTGGGAAAAAAGCTAAAAGCTGCGATTTCTTCTCAGTGATCTCTGTGTGGCTTATAAGAGAATCACGCGATGACCTCTCCTCTCTGTACACGTGTCACTCATACAGTCCACGTGGGTCCCCATCTTGACCATATATATATACACATATATATATATATATATTACAATATAAAAATTCGTTGGTTAAACTAGTGGGACTGTAGCTCTAAATTGTAAAGCCAGGATTTGATATATGGGTCCGCGTTTTGTTTTGCTTTGTGTAGACCAAAGTATACCCCACTTTCTTCCTCTTGTTAGTAGAAATGTATAAGATCAACTTTATATCGATTTGACCATTTTAACGCAAATTAATAATTACAAATTAAGTTACATAAGATTTATGCCAACCTCCTCGTGTATTTCGCGTTGCATGAATCGCAGCTATATGCAAACCTCCCAGTATATATGTATATATATATATATATGTATGTATATATATAGACATGAGAGAGAGAGAGAGGAAGAGTGTACTACGTACGTATAGGGAAGAATTACAAATTAAGTAAAATAAGCGAAAACCGGAGTCCATTTTAGTTTGTTTGATGTAAAGTACATTAGAGATGTCATTTGCAAGTACATATTGATAATTTCCAATCGACAGTCCATGCATGCAGACGATTGCTCCTTAAATATGTATTGTATATAAAAACTATGCTGTGTTCTCAAGCAAAGCCTAGTAATTAATCTATGTCATACTTTACAAAATTATATAATTTCTAATCACATACGGTATATTATATCGTAAGATATGATGTACTAATTGTAACGTCTTCTCGCCGATGATAAGATATTTTATAATCAACGCCATCCACAGTTTTGAAGAATGTAGAAGTCTAACTATATATATATAGATGATGTTTATATATAAAATAAATTTAAACTGAAATGGAATAATTTATGCATGGTTTAGAGCTCCATCACATACCCTCTCCGGCGGTCCACGTCTTTTTATAAAAGAATTTCATTATTGATGATCGGCCGTCGAATCACTACTGTTCAGAATGCAATTATAAGCATTTTTATGAAGATAATATTATATTTAAAAAGTATATAAGTATATTTTTTCAGCCACATTTTACACTTTCCATAACTTCCATGAAAATCCACATGGGTGCTCTGTCTAAGCATACCTACGATGTCTCACCACTCAGATATTGTCCTCTCCGTTCACTGTTTTCAAAAACTGATATTCTACTGTGTTTTTTTCTTCAATTTTCAATTTTCAATTTCATTTTTGAATAAATTCTCTCTCTCTCTCTCTCTCTCTCGCTGGGTCCATCGACGACTACATAATGCGGACACAAATCGCAGAGCTTTAAGCGAATAATTGAATCGATGCCGGCCGCAAAGATGCAGATCCGAGTCTGATACGGCTAAATTATTCGGATAAATTTGATTCTTTTAGTCTTACAAAACACGCATATATATATATGTATGTATGTATGTGTATGGCACATTGTAGATGCATGGTACGATCAAGGTTCATTCTTGTACAACTTAGGCGCCTGAAACACGAAAAAGTAGGTTGCAGTTTCATCTATATATCAAAGAAAATACATAATAGTAAAATCGGGGGGTTGCCATCAAATGAAGCAACGTTGAAATCTTGTGTTGCATGGATTTTGATAAGGACATAAAGAGATGGATTTTGAGTAAAGACATGCCCTTCTCTGAGTTAAAGTTGATTTCACTTCATGAGAAAAAAACAGTGTTACAATTATGTGATTAATTTCACTTTCTTTTTTTTTTATTTGCAATGTAAGGACTCTATTGAATGAGATGAATATTCTTAATTATTACTTCGATTTTTTTTTTTTACTTAAAAATTAAAAAGATATGAGGTTCATTCAAATACATTTGACCAAGAAAAGTAAAAACCCTAACAAGTAAAACCCTGCAGGTCAGATGCAATTATGGTAAAATATGCAAATAAATAATTAAATAAATAATAAAAGATAAAGTGGAATTAATTCGAATTAAAACTAACGGATTTTTATGATTAATTAATTCATCGTTAAAGATTATATATTTATGTTTCCTATCATATGCTTTTCTCTCTATCATTTTGCTCTATCGTACCCTATATATATATATATAATCTGAATAAACATTTTTGGAAGAATTTAATGCGTGTGACGGAAGCAATTGGCCCGAAACAAGATTCTTTTATATTTATTTATTTATTTTTATAAATATACGAAGAGACACATGCAAATAATAAATAGCTTTCACACCCTTATTATATTATTGGTGTTGTTGATGAACCGTCAAAGGACACTAACTTTATATACATTTCCTTGGATTTTTGCCTCATTGAAGAAATTTGCATTCAATGTGTTTCGAGAGAAGGGAAAGTAGAGAGAAGTGGTCGTTGTTCGTTGAAGCCCAAAATTGGTGTCTCTGTTCTCTAAAAGATATCGTCTCTTTGTAACCTCTTCCTTGATTTTCCGCCATTGATGAGTTTCGGTTCAAGCTTCATTAGAATATACATAACATGTTAATTATATCTGTTTGATTTAATTTACTTGGATATTTCAATATTGTATATATAACCGGCCGGTCACATATTCTAATATGACCTTTGCTTATATATAAACACAAAAGCTTAGAGAGTTGATTGTTGTCCGCTTACAAAACGAGTGATTGAGTGTTGTGTGATTTGGTAATCGAGTTAATTAGGATCATATTATTATTATATAACTCTTATAATTTTATTCAAATAATCATTTCTTTAGTAATTTCACCGATTATATATCTTTTTGTACGGATTTTTCTCTATCCTTTTGTGTTTCTCAATCATGCGAGGTGAGAAAGGCGTGAGCTTTCCTTTTCCATGCAAAATAGACATAAGACTCGGAGATAAAGCAAGTGTGTCTTGCTGTTTCAAAGGGCACATTGTTTCTCTATATGTCTTCTTAGGTAATTTTACATATAGATGAATTGAGTTCCCTCCAAATCAAGTGTTATATAATTAATCTCCTATAATAATCCACGTTTATTAGTTTGATCAATATGGGTAGAAAGAAGCTATATATAACCCCATATTTGTATTAGCTTTCGAAGAATATTTGGTGGGAGCTTTAATATTAGAGATACATGGTTGCAAAATTAAACTTCATAATCTCTTATATAGTGATTATTAAATATTAATCACGATCCTTTTTTGGTAAAAACAAAATCAATTGTGAGCCAAAATATGTTAGTTTGATATAGTTGATGATTATTTTTTGATATGATGTACACGAATTCATTGTTGTGTTTTCTAGTTAAGTAGGTGATAAAAGTTGTAGGATGTTTTAGGTATGAAGATTTATTTAGATTTATGGGCAATTAGGACGTTTATCCTACGTTTTTAGGAAACTAAGGGTGTATATTTTTTGAATAATCGAGTTCTAGTACAAGGGGCCAAACTAATCTCGCGTTCAGGAGTCAACTATTTGATTTGGAATATACTATCCCCTGCCAAAATTTGAGATTCAAAGTCGGAATACGATAAACGTTTTGCACTTCTCTTTCGGTTTTACTGGTTAAACTAATCAAGTTTGTGTATTGTTTTAAATAATAAGTTGTAATTCAAATTTAAATTGCTTGATACCATATAAGTAATCATTTAAATTTTTTGATGTTATGAAGTGAATTTAACTGTATTGGTTACAATGGAATCTTATGCAGTTTGTTCTAAGACAGAAGGTGCCAAATTACATAGAGCTATATTAATGCTAAGGTGAAAAAAGAAGAAGAGAATAATAGCCTTGAATGTGCAAACTTACAAAATTCATTCAACCCCATCGAATAATATGCCATGGTTAAAAGCTTGGTGTTTAAATTAATTATGACTACCGTATTAATTATTTACAGAAACTTATATATAAACTATAAAGCAAAATCAAATGGATAAAAAAAAGGGAGTGAATGCATGCATGGTCCATGGGGTATGTGCAGAGAGAGGTCCCACTTTGTTTCATGCCCTTCATGGAAAAATCCCCATGAAAGCAAAAGCCATCAATTCACTCCATTTCTAATAGAAAGTTTCTTTTAAAATTTTTGTTTTCATATATAATTTCCTTGTAATAATAATAATATCATGAAATAACAAACTATAATTTGCTTGTTTCTAAAGTAAAATCTATCTCTATTTCCAGAAGTTGTCAATCATTAAATTTTATATTCGTTTTTTTTAGGCCTATATTGAATTTGAAATACAAGGTTTCTATCTTATAGAGAATGAGTGAAGAATCGATTTTAATTTATTATTCAACATAAAACATTATAATATTTATAGTTACGAAATATAGTATTATAATATCTTATATATCTGATTAATATAATATCTAAAATATAAAAATCAAATCAAATCTAAATATTATGATAATATTTTAGGATATTCTTTGTATCTCTTAATACATACGAGAATATTCTATATATCTCTTGATATCATGTTGAAATTTTAAGTGTGTGTATATATATAGTCGGACCAACTCTTAACCGGTTTGGGAAGCTACATTGTATTAAGCATATATGCATTTTCTATACGAAAAAAACATATTGTGTCTAACACTTGAATTGAGTTTTATATGCTTTATAGACAAGTCAATGCTCAACGAACTCGAGATTCTCTCCCGAGACTCCACATTTTCGTGACATAGCCCTCTTGGTGGTTCTGAAACCGACCCC